CATTCAGAAGCTCCTCTTTCCTGCCCTGCTTCCCCAGTAACTTTATATTGCTGCACATGCAATCCTTCAGTCATGCAAAAGCTGTATTTTTAGACAGCTCTGCTTGGCTCCTACCTAGGGACGTGCAACCCTAAAGTTCATCACTGCTTGGCCARCCCTTCCCTGGGGCTGGTAACCCCAGAGCTCCTGCTGGAATAAAAGTCAAACTGCTTAACTTCAGAGAGCCTTTCCCTAAGCATGTTGGCAAAACAAGTCAGCAGCTGTTTGTTCGTTTTTTCTGGTCGCTTCACTCACAGAATTTAACAAGACTGCTCCCTGCACTTTTTTTTTTTTYTTTCACACCTTCACAGACACAAAGAGAAGTTCCTGTCAKTATTTGTCCCCAGTCAATGCAGCCATTTGATGGAAAACCTCCATCACCCCTGGCCCTCTTCCTCAGGCAGCTCCTCCTGTCCTTTGGCACCCTACAAGTCTGATCCCATGCACCCCTCAAGTGACAAAAACACCCCATGGTGTCCTTTCTCTGGAAAGGAAAAGGCAGAACAAGCAGCTCTGTGAGAGGAAACAGGAAGGGATAAAAATCTCATTTCCTGAAATCTGGATGATTGTTCCCATCCCTTCTCACCTGCTGAAGGAATTTCCATTTTGAAACCCCAGCACTGATGCAGTGGCTCCTTTCAGGGATGTCTGAAATGGTGACAAGTGCCCTGACTGGGAGCAGAGATGTTCAATCCCAGCGCTTGCCCCCAGCAGCATCATCCCTCCAGCCCCTTTCTCCTCTTGCCCTTCAGCTGTGCCTGTGCTGCACACAACTTCTTGCTTTGTTTTGTTTGTAGAAAAAGTGCAAACACAGAAAGACACTTTCTTTTCTTTATCTTCAGATGGTGGGGGAAAAAAAAAGGAGTAAATGTTTACAGCTGCTCCAGCCAGACTGGAGTGAACACCCAGAGGTGATCTTCTCTCTTACTCTTTCTGCACCAAGAATGTGAACAGAGGGAGGTTTCAATCCCTGTGAAAAGTCCCTAAGTATCCCTGGTATCTTGATTTCTTTTTTTCAAAGCAAGAAAACCCACTTTTTAAGGCATCACTAGAAGAATGAATCTGAAAAGCCTTTATCCAAATGAATGTTTAAATTTTGAAAGTGGGGGGAAAAACAATCCCATGTGACTGACAAGGTCCTTTTCAAACACATAATGTGCTGAACCTTGCATGACATTTCTGGGGGTGTTAAGTCTAAAGAGCTSCCTTTGCATGYRGTGTAGCAAATGAACTGTGTGAGGYRAGGGCTGCAGCTCTGTGCATCCTTGCTGAGTACCACTGCAGCATTGTGCAACCTGACAAGCTGCTTCTTACAGAGCTGCACATCCCCAGGGAACAGACTGGTATATTCTTGTTCTTCAAATACCTGAGAAGTTTGTTCTAGCCTAACTAGCATCATTTATGCTTTATGTTGCAAGGAATAGATCTTGGTTTTTGTTTTGGCT